CCATCATAAAAGACGCCCCGTTGTATCCTGTTATTAGGGATGCTCAGAAGTAGTATAGTTACGTTTGCTATTATTGCTTATTAATCTGCATATTTGTAGGCGTATCTTGTCCTTGCCTCCTATTATCAATTCTGATTTCTCTAAGATCACTCTGGACACTCATGACGTGTTCATCGAGTGTACTTGTACTGACCTCACTAAGGGAAAGACGGCTGTTAACATGCTGGTAGGAGCTCCTCGATCGTCTGTAGGAGAGAGTTAGCACCGCTCCGCTCAGGTGACAGCTTTTTCGCAGTACTCAGCAAAGCCTTTCACCATCGAGCCCGTACCAGTGACTTACTCGCCGGCCCACGCCTCGAGATGGGCGGGCCGTACTATGGTCACCCCTGACCTTACCTCGCGGGTTATCGAGGTCTCGGGGTTGAGGCTACGCAAGGCCCTAGCGATCGAGGATAAGATTGGTGATAAGCAAGTGGCAAGTGACCTTACGAGAATGTAGACTTTGGGATCTATCCTGGCATTGTTTTGGTGATTTATGTTTATCTAGGTTCTTACCATCGAAGGTGGTGGATGCCGCGAAGAACACTATAGAAGTTACTGTACCAGTGACGAGGAGTGATGTTATGCACGAATGTGACCTTATTGAGGATCTTGCTATCTCGTAGGCCCTTGCTAGGCTCATGTGATCGACTGGATTGTTTCTATGGTAGTTATGGTTATAATAATCTCGAGGCTACCGTCCCTCTGACTGTTACCTTTCCGAAGGAGCAACCGATCAATAGACTATCTGATATGATGAGGTCGGATCGGAGGAGAATGGCTGTTGATGTGTGGAGTGTCTCTTTGTGGTCAGGTCGGAGTGTGCAATGGCTGGCTTCTGCGAGTGTCTTACGTGGGTGCTCCTGAACACTAAGGAGAACTACGATTATCTTAGAAGGTAGGTGGTGGGAATCGAACTCGCGGTTGTTCGATGGATGGCGCGAGCTTTTACCATTTGGCTATTTTAGAGATGTGAATCTCGAGCTGACTGGCAAGGAGCCTATTCCTAGGGTCTTCCAAAAGCACCCTCCAACTGGCGGTAAGAGCCCCAAGTCTAAGCTTGCTGCTCATGGTACCTTCCCTATATCGATGACATGTTTGATATTCCCAAACAGATGCTGTATCCCAATACTACTCGTATGAGCTCAATCCGGTTCCTGTGCAACTGTCAAACCCTAAGACGAAGGATTTCGAGATCTGCCGTACTAGTCTGATCCCTTGCCTCCTCAAGGTCCTGCAGTCCAACAAGCATAATCCTCCTCCGATCAAGCTATTCGAGGTACTCGAGTGAGGCCCTTTCACCACTGACTTAGATATTATCAGGTTTCGGATGTGGTAGTGCAATCGTCTCTCGCTGAGACTGGCGCCCGAAATGAGCGGAGATTGGCGGCACTTATAGCGGGTAGCTGAGTGTTGGTGTTGTTGGTGTTGATGATTATGGGAGTAGGCACGAATAGTGGCTTTGAGACTATCCATGGTTTATTAAACCAAATAATGTGGTCACTCAACCTTGCGGCTGATTTCGCGGAGAACGTTAATAAGAGGGTTCAAAGGCGTTACCATCTGGAGGAGATCGATGATGCGGCTATGTTCCCTGGCCGGCAGGCTAAGGTCATGGTTGGCGATGTCTGCATAGGCATCCTCGGTGTGTTGCACCCTGAGGTGAGGTAGAAGTGTTGGATGCAGGGATCGAACTCGGGTCATTTGTAGGTTCTCGAAAACTTCGATATGAGCTTCCCAGCTTCGGTCCTCGAGATTACCCTGGAGCCTTTCTTAGAGTGGTTGAGGGAGTAAGAGCTTAAGACACTGGATCATTCATTCCTCCTCCCAAGTTGGTTTCTCCATCAATGATAACTTATATTTGTGTTGTTTTTACCCATCGTCTGCTGTGTGGGTGCAGTTTTCCTTGTTCGCCGTTGATCGTAATATGCTACCACCGCCAGGCATGGGCTTTCCGCCGCCCAACCCAGGTTTTGCACCAGCTGCAGGAGGAGCAGGAGGTGGATTCCCGGTGCCAACAGGTGACCAACAACAGCAACAACAACAACAGTTCTTCCCACCTCCTCCTCCCCCACCTGGGGTCCCACCGGGCGGCCCGGGTTCGTTCCCTGGTGCCTCCCCAGTGCCCGGTATGATGCCAGGTATGATACCAGGAATGATGCCGATGCCTGGAATGGGTAGTGTAAGATACACCATAAGAGTAGCACACTATGTTGTTATCTCAGAACTACCTGGATTCCCCCAACCCCCAACGCCCCCACCAGGACTATTCGCTGGAGCTCCCGCGGGAATGTTCCCGCCTACACTCCCGCGTCCCCCTACTACTTCGACGACGACCCCTGCCGCATCAGTGGGAGGAGGTCCTTCTCCTCCTCCTGTTCTTCCTAGCAGTAGCACTACTATCGAGCTTAAGGAGGTTAGAACGACTTTAAGGAAGGAAACATGTCGGGCTTACGTTGGTAGACTGTGCGCTGACATCAGTGATTCGGTGGTTCGTAAACTGTTGGATCAGTGCGGAACTGGTGAGGAGGGAGGAGAGGGGTGGATGAGCGTGTTGATGTTGGTCGTTATGATCAGTCATCAACTGGAGCCGCCAAGTTGACCCTTCGACTGGGAAGGCGCTGAACTTTGGTTACTGTGAGTTCGCGGATGCTGGAGGACTATGGAGGGCGATCGAGCTCTTGGATGGGCGTGAACTGGGTGGTAAAAGTATATTGGTCAAATGTGACGAGAGGGCTCAGAAACTGGTTGATGATTACACTGCTAGGGTAAGGGTTGATGCTATCATCTCTGAAGTGATGATGAGCATTTGTTTGTAGGAGGATATCGATATTAAACGGGAGAAGGAGACTGCGGCAGCGGTGGAGGCGCTGGTGAGTGAGGCTAACAAGGAGTGGAAGGATAAACTCGAGAAGGATAAGCTGACATCTTCTAGGGTGCGCACTGGGAAGATTTTTCATCGGCGACAATTTGTCATTATTAGGATGCGTCCAGGGCCCGGGATAAGAAGAGTCGGGCGTCGTCGGAAGGGCGTAGTGTGCGGGAGGATGGCGGTGCTGCAGTATCGGCTCTGTCGAAGCGTTATAGAGATTCTAATAGGGAAATGGCGAGGCTCAGGCGCAGGGCTGACTTGCGGGAGTCTATAAGGAAAGAGTAGTACTCCCATGTTGTTGTTGGTGTGATTGTTATTGTTGTTGTGGTGGTGTAGGTATAAGCGTCGGAAAGGCAACTGGGAGAGGACAGAGCGTGAGAGGGAGATGGAATGTGAGAGGCGAAATGATGAGGAAATGCAGGAGGAAAGTGAAAGGTTTGAGCTCATTGATCAGGTGGGAGCGCCTTTAGGGAGGGACTTGATGGATTTGGGTTTAGGATGGTAATCCGAACGAAGGCCCGGTACGGTGTTCAAGACGACTGGATAGAAGGAGGGAGGAAGAGCTTGATGATGAGTAATGGCGATTTCGGTGTGGAAAATTTGCTCGAACGTGTGTTGATTCTCGTAGAGTTATAATACAAAGTATGCGTAAATTTTCTAAGCTCAGTTGAGGGTAGCAGAGATGTATTGGGATGTTGTGATTGTTGTTGTTGTCCTCAGGGATAGAGCTGAAGAGGCTAGGGAGGTGAAGGAAGAGGAGGAACGTCGACGGAAGGAAGAGGAGGAGCGTAAACGGCGAGAAGAGGAAGCTAGACGTCAACTGCTTGAGGAAATGCAGGAATTGAGGAGGCGAAAGAAACAGAGCGTTGACCAGCGATCCCGGATGGGGTTCGGCGGTGAACCTGAACGAAAGAGCGGTAGTAAACCCTGTCGGGCTTTATCATCAGGGAGGATTCGCCCGCATATGTCGGTTTTGTGCGTTGCGGTTTACCTATTGTGGGTTCATTCTGGGCAGCACTGATCTGACTGGGAATACAGATATAAATGATAATGATGATGTCGTGGTGATAAGTTGATGACGCTAGTGGATCCATTACATCGTAGAGGGTGCATTGTCTCAGAAGAAGCTTGATATTCATGCAATATTTATGGGTTTACTTATGGTTTGATTAGTTATTAGATCTTAGTTTAGAGTATATCTATTGTCAGCAGTGTATGCGGGGAAATCATGTCGTTGTAGTATAACAGTACTTCGGGATCTACCTGGAATGGGAGGAGGAGATGGAGTTTCCGCGCTTAAAATTGTCTATCTTTGTTATGTAGGTGTATATAGTAACAGTAGACAGAAATAGTATTATAAAATGGTGATAGCGGATTTCCCCATCTTCGTTGTTCAGGTTCGTCGATAGAGAAAACCAAGGAGATGTTCGCTCAGACCAGGGCTGAGGATCAAGCACGTCAACGACAGGTTGTTGAACGTGAGAATTGTCATATTATCATCCACATTGTTTTCATCTGGAGGGAATATGCATTTTTAAGACGGGAACAGGAGCCTTGTATTTGGTTAACTTATTTCAGCGCCTCGCGATCCTGCAGCCAAGGAAGCAGCTTTACGGCAATCCCAAGCTCTGTTGCGAGCGATGCCCAGATCTAGGTACGAGGGGGAGATTGGGTGTTATGGTGATGATGATGTTGTTGTGCAGGAATGCTATCATGGCTTTCGAACTGGACTGGCATGCTCTCAAGGAGTGTGATGTTCTCCGGTTGCAGTTGAAGCCTTGGCTAGAGAAGAAGTTGACGGAGTATTTCGGTAGTGACATTAAGGCTGATCAGGTTGGTATGTACGTGCATGCTGTTAGGAGTGATGGAACCTCGTATGTTAAACTTAATTCTTGAGAGGATGGACGCTGAGACGCCTGTCCAGCAGTGTATCACTGACCTCAAGCCTTTCCTGGACGATGAAACTGAGGTGGGTATTGAGATGGAGATAGGACGCTCTATCATAAAGATTGGACGCTCCTCTGTTTCTGTATAGATGGTAGATGCATTTGAGCTGTGTAGCTATTGACAGTGGCTCAGATTATTTTCTCTTAGTGATGCTCATAATAGGATACTTATTTTGTGGATGCTCCCCTTGAGTAAAGTCTCGCTCTTATGATTTTTATAGAAGACATTTACTATACGGAGTTATTGTCGAATCCGATAGCCACTGCGGTAGTGATAGCGTTTTAGTGTGGTGAAGTATCTCATTTTCGGAGGAATGTGATGTTATTTCAGACTTTTGTTCTGAAGATGTGGAAATTGCTGATCTACAAGCACATGCAGATTTGTGGAGTCCCTCCAGAGCCTCGTCAAGACTCCCCTCCTCGCCGCCGTTCACGACGCTCAAGTCGGAGCCGTAGTAGAGAGAGAAGTCGGCGTCATTAGTTTCAGAAACCAGATGACCATCATAGATGGATTACCGCAGTACTCTATATTATTACTATTCTTGCTGTAGTCGTAGTTGCGGTTTGGAAAACTGCTGATGCTGCTCCCAATGGGATCGATTACGCTGCTGCATTGTTATGGACGTTTGAGAAAGCGTCATCGGGTTCTTGGGTTTTCGAGTCTTGTCAATTTCTGGATGTGCTTCATTTTCCCTTCACAATTTAGCGACGAATTCGGTGCATCCATCCAGCTGTAGAAGTGTGCGAATGATGTCATCAGGAGTGTGTCACTTCGTAGAGCACCCTGGTGCGATCGAAATATATGCTGTTTGACGCCTGGTTGAGTATCTAAGATGTATTCAGCTGAGCTATGCCGGGCACGGTTGAAGTCGCTTATAGGAGGTTGCGACGTGCAATGGTTATAAGGCAGCAGAAGGGAGAACATGAGCGACAACACGTCAGGATTACGGCGCATGCGATTGTAGAATGCCACATGTCAGTGAGAGTGACTGAATGGTTACTCATAGATGTCTAGGGCAATCTTATAATCCATGTTATGATTTTTATGGATGTCCTCGTTCATGTTGTTGTGGTGTTGTGCAGCGTTAGCAAGGGCATTAGGATTTACTCTGTCCCGTTTCACAATTTGGCAGCCTCGAGACAACACTGAGGGCAGCGGGAAAAAGGTCGGGGGAGCGAGTCGACGGAAATCCGAGCCGACCACTCTAAGGTATTCCCTCTCTGTCATGGAGGAGATGCAGGCAGACGAGTGGGTGTATTGGTGATATAAGTCCACAATGATTTGTGCTAGATGTGCTTCCACGTCCGGAGACACAGTGGAGCGAGCTACTGGTAGTGGTAGTAGTAGCAGCGGTAGTGCCTTCTCGTGTATGGTGAGGCTTGCACCGTGTGATTTGGTGAGCAGCCAAAGCGGAAAGGGATACTATGGAAAAGAAGAAGTTGATGACCTTATCGATTTGATGGGTGAGTTGTTGTGGTCGATCGGATGTCGGTCATTATACTACGCTCTCTCGAGGCGTAGACGCGCTCTTAGCAGTATTGGAATATATATATGGCTTGCTCAGCTGAACTCAAGAGTTTCTACAGCTCCATAATGTACGCAAAACTTGAGTTAGTAGAAGTGTAGAAAATCCAACAAGAATTATCTTCGAAGAAATTCCCTCATCCTCATCGAAACACGTAGTTGGCGACTTTCCCGGTCCGAGGTGGTAGGTGGCATAGCTGCCCCATCCTCAATAATTGAGGTATGTGTTGAGGTAGCATAGCTGCCCCATCCTCAATAATTGAGGTATGTGTTGAGGTAGCATAGCTGCCCCATCCTCAATAATTGAGGTATGTGTTGAGGTAGCATAGCTGCCCCATCCTCAATAATTGAGGTATGTGTTGAGGTGGCATAGCTGCCCCATCCTCAATAATTGAGGTATGTGTTGAGGTGGCATAGCTGCCGCTGCCCCATCCTCAATAATTGAGGTATATGTTGAGGTGGCATAGCTGCCCCATCCTCAATAATTGGGGTATGTGTTGAGGTGGCATAGCTGCCCCATTCTGAATAATTGAGGTATATGTTGAGGTGGCATACCTGCCCCATCCTGAATAATTGAGGTATATGTCGAGGTGGCATAGCTGCCCCATCCTGAATAATTGAGGTATATGTTAAGGTGGCATAGCTGCCCCATCCTCAATAATTGAGGCATATGTTGAGGTGGCATAGCGGCCCCATCCTCAATAATTGAGGTATATGTTGAGGTGGCATAGCTGCCCCATCCTCAATAATTGAGGTATGTGTTGAGGTGGCATAGCTGCCCCATCCTCAATAATTGAGGTATGTGTTGAGGTGGCATAGCTGCCCCATTCTCAATAATTGAGGTATGTGTTGAGGTGGCATAGCTGCCCCATCCTGAATAATTGAGGTATATGTTGAGGTGGCATAGCTGCCCCATCCTGAATAATTGAGGTATATGTCGAGGTGGCATAGCTGCCCCATCCTGAATAATTGAGGTATATGTTAAGGTGGCATAGCTGCCCCATCCTCAATAATTGAGGCATATGTTGAGGTGGCATAGCGGCCCCATCCTGAATAATTGAGGTATATGTTTAGGTGGCATAGCTGCCCCATCCTCAATAATTGAGATATATGCTGCGATGGCATAGCTGCCCCATCCTCAATAATTGAGATATATGCTGCGATGGCATAGCTGCCCCATCCTCAATAATTGAGGTATATGTTGAGGTGGCATAGCTGCCCCATCCTCAATAATTGAGGTATATGTTGAGGTGGCATAGCTGCCCCATCCTCAATAATTGTGGTATATGTTGAGGTGGCATAGCTGCCCCATCCTCAATAATTGAGGCATATGTTAGGGTGGCATAGCTGCCCCATAATATATTGAGATGTATCGTGTTGTCAGAATGTGAGATGGAATCACTGGAATGCGATGTAGAGTACTGGAAGACGCTGTTCAACCAAAGCCAGGACGAGTTGAACTACAATAGAACCCTCATTGAGAATCTCGAGCAAGATCTTCACAGGATTAGAGGAGATACTTCTGTAAGTTAATGTTCTGGTCAGTGGCATGAAGGGAGTATTTAGGGTCTGGGTGCTCTTCAGAGTGATCAGCAGGAGCAACAGCAGAATTCACAAAGGTCAGTTCGAAGTTAGCGGGTGTGGAATGACAGTCTGTCTTAGTTCCTCCCTGGGCCGTTCGAGCTTTGCTAGCTCCTGCAGCAGCAATAGTGTCCTGAGTCAAACATTGGACGCGAGCTCTCGTACAGTATTCTCTCAATCGGCAGCATCCTCTCGGCCTGTGAGTCTGAGGTCGTCGCCGAGCACCTCGTCTGATAAGAGACGACAGCGAGCGGCGCGGAGAAAGGGTATCAGAGTTATCCGTCTTGGCCGAAGGAAAAGCGCAGTTCGAGAGACGGCCCAAGGAGGTGAGAACGCGCTCCGAGAGGGCCTCTCACATACCTTTGGTGTGCGCCATGCGGTTCCGGGCTTCTTCAGCCTTTCATTGGTCTTTCATGGTATCGATGATAGTACTCAGTCGGTCGTGTTGTTTGTCTCCCAGTTGATATCTCCGATGAAGTCGTTAAAGCATTGACATTCAGGTACCTCCCAGGGACTATACAACGGTGTTACTTCTTCCTTGGGCTCCCTATGGAAGCGAATGACTGGCCACTCGTCATCTGAGAAGTGAGCTCGCATCCACTTCGCTAGTCTCTACTGATGAGTCTGCAGGACGAGCCCGAAGAAGTCCCGGGTTCGCTCCGGTACCCGGCGTGCCAAGAAAGGTTCTTCATAGATCGCTTATGAGGCAACAGTTGCTATACTTTTGTATCCTATCATCGACAATACTAAAGTTGGTACTAGTGTAGCTAGCGTCGGCGTTGCATGACTGTGCACTTAATAATAATAAGCTCTGTAAACGGAGCTCAGATATCGTCAAGAATGTTGAGTTTAATCAATCCATATTACGGGCAAACCATTACGGGGAAGTTCTGCTCGGCGATAGAGACAGACTCGAGATGACTCATGTCGAACGAAGAGATAAGGTCAGCGTAACACGTACTGTGCAGTATCAGTCCGATGTTCTTCATTCACCGAGTGGCGAATGCTGTCACCATGATGTACAATGAGGCTGACGAGCTCACGGTCTGCCACTTCATTAGGTTGCCTCTTTTTGGGTACCTATCAGCATCCTTTGCTGTGTCAGGCCGAAGGAACGAGCGAAGATATTGGAAGGGTTAACAGAAGAACAAAAGGACGAGTCGGAAGCTGAAGGGACCCCAACTACGCGTGCGCCAGGTGAGCCTCCTCGAATGAACTATTGATGGGTGTGCATATCCTAACTCAGAGTATCGAGATGTACCGGTCCTGGGTGAGGGAAGGATTCTCCCGACGTCGCCGAGCTCGCCCCGTTCTGTTGATGAATCTCCTGCTGTGCAAACAGTATCACCAGTTCATGGTGGGGCATCCAGTGCATCATCAGAGAGTGTTCATATTGGTTCCAGATGGTGTTAGTGGCACAGCGAGGCCGGAGCCTTCCGCAGCTTCAGATCGTCGGGGATCACCAAGCCGACCCGCGTGAGCTAAGATGCTATGTTGAGTTTGGGACGGCGACGTTCTCAAGCGTGTTACTGATGATAATCCAGATGGACACTCTTGCTTGTTGCAATGATGATGACGATTTCTCTATACAAGGCCATCGTTCTCTTCGTAGTGGTAAATTCATTCCAGAACCCGAGCTGGGTTCTAAATCAGCATCTTATAAGCGAAAACAGATTCGAAAATCGACTCGTCGAAGTGCGGACGCCTTTCTGATGGATCCGTCATCGCCCGCATCTGGATCATCAAGCCGTAATAGCAGTCCCGTACGAGGCTATCACTCCACACCTTCGTCCTCATCAAGTGGCAGTGAGGTTGGCTTCACATTCGAGGAGTACGAGCGCGAGGCCGAGAAGACCCTCGGAGCAATATTCGATACCACTGAAAAGATCATCAATGGGGATGAGTTGAGCTTCGGAGAATGTGGGACCGCTCAGCTATCAGCGCAGTATCATGTTCGTTAGGTCTCGATGAAGTACTCCTACCAGTTGCCAAGGAGTTGAGAGCTCTGTAATTCACAGTTTTATCTTTGTTGTAAGGAATAATCCCCTCGTTATCAAGGTACGAGAAGAACGGTCATCTCTTGGCCGTAGCATCAAGTGCTTCTGGCTTGTGACATTTGTTGATCCATTACAGTTCGCTTTATTCATTGTCGCGTTTATACAGTGATGAAAGTGAGAGAAGGTTGAATGAGAGATGTAACAAACCTTTTGAGAGATCTGAGTTATTTCTGAATGAGAGCAATAGAGCAGCATTGAAATCCCATCCTCGCGGCGCATGGGTCCAGGATGAATATCGAGTTCATCTT